ACATTCCTATCTCTTCCCACACTTCCTTTCCCCTCCCCCTACACCTTTCACCCCAGCTCCTCCACTTCCCTCTTTCCGTAGTTTCACTCCTTTTTTGGCCATCCCTTTTTTCGAGTCAGAGCTTGCCAAAAATAGGAATGAAGACAGAGCAGCAGCCTTGTCAGGGGCTTGATTTAGTGACTCTTCACCCATCTGTCCTGCCTGGTCAGTAACCGTCTTCAGAGAGATCAATATCATATTGTCACACTAGTAGAAAAACACAAATTAGCACCAACAAAATAGCACCGGTTCTTGAAAACCAGTGGGCAAAAATACAATGGCACCGGTTAACCGGTGCTTTTTGTTTTAGAAAATGAAAACCAAAAAAAAAAAAAGAAATGGCACCAGTTAATCTTATAAACCCTTAACCCCCTCTCTCTCTCTCATCCGCCTCTATTTCATGCTCTCCTTCTCTCTCATCTATGTTCTTCTCTTCTCTCTCATCTCTTCTCTGATCTCTCGGTCTTCTCTTCCTTTTGATCTCTCGTTCTTCTCTGATCTCTCTGTTCTTCTATGATATCTCGTTCTTCTTCCTCTTCTCAACAACCACCGGCCTTAGTCGAAGTTTCGAAACTAAGCACAACAACCATCGCTGCCGCCGTCAACCACAACAAATTTGATTGAATTTTCGATTAGAAAATCAGAAATTTGAGGTTAGGGTTTCTGGGTTCTTTAGCTTTGCGTTTCGATTTTTGGGTTCTAGGTTTTTTCTCGGTTTTTTCTCGGTTTTTACTGGGTTCTGGGTTTTTGGGTTTCAGGGTTTTTCTGGATTCTTTGGGTTTCTGGGTTTTTTTTGTTTTTTCTAGGATCTCTCGTTCTTCTCTCTCATCTCTTCTTTGATCTCTCTGATCTCTTCTCTGATCTCTCGTTACAATTTTTTGGTTTTGGAATATTAGTTTATTGTGGGTTTTATTAATTTTGGTGTTTTAATTGATGCTAATAGTATTCCTTCAAAAAAAAATAATACAACTGCAGCGACTCCACATAGAAGAACGATTCAAGATTCAAGGATTGTGGTGTTTTGTTTTTCATTATAGCGTTTTTTTTATTTTTATTTTTTTATAAATTGTAAAATAACAATTTATTTAATGAATAGGAAAAATTTAAGGGAATAATCCCACCTTTGCGCCGTTCGTTTTTAATAATCCCACCTTTACCCCCATTCTTTTTTAATGGTCCCGGGTGACCAGTAACCGGTTGAAGAGGTTAATTTTTTTTTAAAGTTTATTTTACACGTGTCACCACGTAATTGGTCAAAAAAATAAGTTTTAATTTTAATTTTGTTTTAAGAAATGATAATTAGCAATTAAATTAATTACTTATTTTTAGTAATTTTCTCATGAAAAAAAAACTAAAAATTAAAACCACTACCAGCCACCTCCCTGCCCCACCGTTGTCCCAGACCCCAGCATCGCCACGCCCTGACCGTCGTCCCAAACCGGCTGTTAGCCCCGCTCCGGTCGCCACATTTATTCCGGCACCTTCCGTCGCCTTAAACCACCAAATTCATTTCCGAAATTAAGGCATGGGAAGGAGAGGGGGCCAAAATTGAGGCCTGGGAAGGGCAAAGGGGCCAAAATTGGGGCGAGGGGAAGGGGAGGGGGCTGAAAAAAGGATAGGGGAAGGGGAGGGAGTCGAAAACGGGGCAGCGGAAGAGGGGGAGGGAGGGATAGGGGGGCGGTGAACGTATTTTAGAGCGTGGTTGGTGGTTCAAGGGGTGGGAAAGGGTGTTGGTGGTTCAATGGGAAGGGGGAGGGCAGTCGGCGTGGCCCTCCGTCGTCGGTGGGCAGGCAGCTGGGAAGGCTGGTGGTAGTGGGCAGTCGTGGAGGGTGGTTGGGCTGGTGGGATATTTCTTTTTTTTTTACTATTTTTTTATCTTATTTTTTTATGAAACAAGTAGTTTCTTAATTAATTAAGTACAATTTTTTAATTTTTTTCTTTTAATTTTTTTATATTTTAGGCCAATTAGATTGCGACACGTGGCATGTAACTTGCTATAGCAAGTTAAATGACCGGTTGGGACCATTAAAAAAGAATGGGGGTTAAAGGTGGGATTATTAAAAAATAATCCAAAGGTGGGATTATTAAAAATGAACGGCTCAAAGGTGGGATTATTCCCATGAATTTTTCCTAATGAATATATATATGTGTGTGGCTAATGTATATTACGATTTTGGTGTTTTTTTTTTTTTTAGGGAAACGATTTTGGTGTTTTTTTTTCATTGTCCGGTGATTTTTAAGTGAAAAAATTGCATTTTATTTTTTTTGTTTGAAGGTATAATGGGCACCGGTTAACCAGTGCCAATTGTAGTTTAAACCAGAAAATAAAAAGCGCAGCACTTACTCTTAGCACAGGTTAACCGGTGCTAATTCTTAGTTTTCCCACCGGTTTTGAATCGGTGCTAATGTTTTTTTTTTTAGCATCCCTCAAATCTGGACCGGTTCAAAACGGGTGCTAAAGGGGGGTTTTGAAATGGTGCTCATTTACATTTTTCGCCTAGTGTCATCAGTGGTACTAGGTAGAGCATTTTCAATAGCCTCAACCCGAGATAAAGCAAGTTCATCCTCTGTCACTTTCGCCCCCTGGTGCACACCATCAGTCTTATCAAGGTTCTCCTCACTAAAGACTTCCAGTTTAAGAACAAAAAGGACTCTTCTACACGCTTTAACCTCCTCCACTTCACCGACCAGCTTCTGTCTCCCCTTTCTTGGAGTTGCACGAAGTCGTAAACTCCACCCCAAGCCTTGGTTCTGCTCCTCCTCTAGAAAATTAAGACAATCTTTTTCACTATGGTCAATCACACCACACATTAGGTAGAAAAATGGAAGACATTCATACTTCAAGTCAATTTGCAGCACCCTTCCATCCTTTTTCCTCATGTTTGTAAATTTCCTCAGGGGTTTCGAGATGCCAAGGTTTATTTTCACCATCCTGTGTTTGTCAAGGCCTAGGTCATCTTGTTCAATTTCTAGCAATTCACCCATTGAAGTTGTGATTGCTTTGATAATGCTATTCGAGCGTTTATTGAAAGGCAGATTCTCAAGTCGCACCCAAAAAGGACAATTGGTTGGCATGACATCCGAGGGTTGTTTATTTCCATCGACTTCGCTCAGGGCTAGCAAATTATTTTCGAAACACCAAGGACGCCCCTCTAAAACCTTCTCACGATCCTTCCAATGGAAGAATTGAAAGGCAAATAAATTTGTTCCAATAACACGAATCACATTCTCTTTGAAACAGACCATGCTTGTGACATGGTTCGTTTAAGAGTGTCAAAATTGTAACTGCGATTAGTGATTGACTTCCCCACCAGCATTAGGGCAACGCGTTCCTCCGATTCCTCTTCATCAACATCACCAACATCTACTATTTCGTTTTCCTGATTGAAAATTCGTAATTTCGAGCACTGTTTTGCTACATCGTCAGCCATAATTGATTGGAGAAAAGCCTCTCTTGCAAGGTAAGGCAACCTTTCTCTCGAGGTAGTATCGCCCCTCTTTTTCAAGGGTTTTACTTAACTTTAATAAACCACATATCAACTTATTAACCTAAAATAATCTATCCTTAAACTAAACCCTAACCCTCATTCTCTCTCCTCCCTCACAACCACATCCACCACCAACATCACAACTTTTCTCTCTCCTCCATCTCAACCACCACCAACAACAGCTGTAGTTTTCTCTCTATTCTCTCATAACCACCACACCACCATCACCACTTAGATCGAGTCGCCGCCACTTTCACCTCACCCTTGTCAGTTCACCGCCGCCACTTTCACTTCACCCTTGTCGATTCGCCACCGCCTCCTTTTCCCTTTTCAAAGTCGCCGCCCTCACACTCAATCATATTACGACTCACAATTTAGGTTGGGTGGCGGTGCATTTCGGATCTTAATGGTGGTGAGGTGGGGTTTTAGATGAAGTGATGGTGAGGTGAGGTTTCGATTTGTTGGTGGTGTTGAGTTAGGGTTTCGAAACTTAGTGGTGGTTCGTTAGGGTTTCAGTTCGTTGGAGGTGGTAAGGTGGGGTTTAGGTTCGTTGGGGGTAGCTAGTGATGAGGGGTTTTGGTTTATTGGTGGTGGCTATGGTGACGTGGGTTTCGATTGGTGGTGGTGGTGAGATGGGATTTTGAATCTTAGTGGTTGTGAGGTGGGGTTTCAGATCTTGGTGGTGGTGAGTGGGTGGTTACGGGGTAGGGTGTTGGTGGTGGTGCAAGTTGGTTGGGTGGGTTTTGGGTGGTTGTGGTGGGTTTTCAGATCTTAGTGGTGGTGAGAGGGTGGTTACAAGGTGGGTGCTGCCGTGCTGGTGGTGTTTACTTTCTCCCTCATCCATTTAATCACATGCCCCTTTATTTTTAATCTCAACTTAACAAATTTCTTCTTGGGAATTGTGCAAGCAACTTTGTTGCACATAACTTGAAACAGAGGAAGTATATATATTACAACCAAATTGATTTCAATCTAACAAATAGGACACAAAAATCATATTACAACTAAATAGTACTTAAAAAATCCATCTTACAAGCCGAGAGTACTACAAATAATTACATAATAGCAATTAATATCACACGATAGCAATTAGCAATTAACAAATAACAAATAGCAAATAACAATCACACAATAGCAATTACAATCACACAATAACAAATCACAAATCACAAATTCAGCAAACAGCAGATAACAAATACAAATATACAATCAAATAGCAATTTATTCATATTTAAATCTGAAACAAATCAAACAATAACCAGAAACCAACTAACCAAGACAACAAGTCAGTAAAACTACCAAATTAAAACTACAATTTATTTCACCACAACAACCACTTAACGAAATAACAATTCAATTATTTCAATAGCATCAACAAAAGATCAATTTAATTATTCAAATGGCTAAAATTATGAATAATTAAAATAAATATGAAATAACAAATTAATTAGTTAATAATTTAAAGTTTATTACTTGGGTGAGTTGGGTCAGTGCCTCGGTGGTCGCCTGGTCGATGCCGTCGATCAAAGAGCGGTGGCGTCGTGGCGCGGTGCTGTTGCAGTGATCGTTCTTCACGAATTGGTTGAAGCGATGAAGCCTTGAAGGCCTTGAGCCTTGAAAGCGGTGGCCTGCAGTTGCTTCAGAATAAATAAACGCCCATTTTACGGGCTGACGGAGTAGTGATTATACTTGCGTAGGGGCATTAGAGTAATTATGGTTTCAAACGGGCGTAGTTGAGCTGAAATTAGTTTGTTTAAGCTATGTTTGATGAATACACTGGCTTATGAGAGTCCAAGCTAAATACGAGTAGCTAATTGAGGTTCAAATGGGCTTTTCGTACTTTGTTTACAAATGAGGTCATTTTTACTAGTATTTTGAATTTGAGCTTGAATTTAAATCAATATATTAATAAAAATAATATGAGTAGCTAATTAAGGTTCAAATGGGGCTTTTTTTTTTGTACTTTCAAAAAACAATTTTTTTTAAAGTCATTTTACTACTATTTAATTGGAAAAATTCACAACAATAATCCCACATTTTGCAAGTCTTCTCAAAATAATCCCACCTTTCAAAATTCTGGGAATTATCCCATCTTTTAGGGGTATCATCTCAAAATGGTCCTTATTAACTTGTTTGTAGGTAAATAACAGGTAAACTTGACATGTGTATTATTCTAATTGATTTAACATTTTTTAAAAATTAAAAAATCTGAAAATAAAATAATTAAAACTTAATTAAGAATTTTTTTTTGAGAAGAATTAAGTAGAATTTGATTATTATTAAAAAATAGAAATTAATTAAGAATTAAACCCAACCGCCCCTCCCACCAACACAACCCAGCCCATCACCCCAAGTCCTCAGCACCGGCGACCAGCTGCGCATGCCCACCCTCGGCCGACCCCAGACAACTCCTCCCTCCGGTGTACCCCCTCCTTTTCCCTCTCACCCTCCTTCCTCTCATACCCCACCATTAACACAACCACACAACCCAGCCCAAAAAACCGATCACCCTCATTATTCCTCCCTTAAACCACCACGAAACATCCACCACTCCCTTTCCCCCACCTTGAAACGACCCCCCCTCGCCGTTTTCGGGTGTGGGAAAGGGATTTGGGGGTTGATTCAGGTGGGGGGATGAAGGAGGAGGACTATCGGGTGATTAGGGCTTTGAGAAAAAAGGTGGACATAGTGGGGATTAGGGGAAAGGGAGGGGGTCTCCGATGGGGATTTGTTAAACGTCGCCCGCAAATCTCCACATAAAGCCCACAAATATTTTTACTTTGACTCTTTTGCCCTTTTTCTAATTTTTACCGAAACCGTAATTCACTCTCACGAAGAATGTGGAGCTGGAGTGGATCGCCGAGGGACACCGAAGAGCCGTCATCGTCGCCGGAAAGCGAGATAATCCGGGGGAAAAATTACGAAAAGTAGGGGTGGCGTCCTGGCCAGACGCCGCCACCATGGCTGTGGCGTCCTGGCCAGACGCCACCCTTACTTTTTGTAATTTTTTTTTTCTTTTTTTTTTTGTAATTTTATTTAAACTTTTTGTAATTTTTTTTAAATTTTATTTAAAGTTTTTGTTTTTTTTAATTAAACATTAACACAAAAAATTCTGATTTAAAAAAAATATATACATTAGAAATAAAAACATTAACACATAAAACAAAAATATTAAACATTAACAAAAGAATTCTGATTTTCCAAAAAAAAAAAAAAAAAAAAAGTGGTAGGGCGCTTGGCCAGGACGCCCAGCCCCTGGTGGTGGCGTCTGCTCCGACCGCCGGGACCAGGGGGCTGGCGCCTGACTTGGAGGCCCAGCCACGGCGGTGGCGCCTCTGGAAAACGCCACAATCGTGGCTAGGCGTCCAGGTCAGACGCCAGCCCCCTGGTTCCGGCGGCCGGAGCAGACGCCACCACCAGGGGCTGGGCGTCCTGGCCAGGCGCCCCACCTCTTCTGTTTTTTTTTTTAAAATTTTTTTTTTTAAAAAAACCCTGCCACCGTGAGCCGTCCTTCCCTCCGCCGCTGTGGCCGCCAAGTCCTTGCCTTGCCGCCTCAACATTGCCGTATTTTCGGGTGATTAGAGTGTGGGTATGGGTTAGATTTTTTTATTTTAGGTTTAGGGCAATAAGGTAAATTCAATATAGATTTGTGGGCTTTATGTGGAGATTTGCGGGCGATGTTTAGCAATCCACCTCCGATGGTGGGGCTTGGTCGACGGGGGTTGGTGGTTCTGGGCGGCGGGTTGAATGGGGGTGGGGCTGCCGACAGGGAAAGGGGAGGGGGTGGCTCATGGCTGGCCAGTGATGGGGTGGGTTTTTTTTTTTTAATTTATAATTTAATTTAATAGTTATTTATGAGAATTTAGTGTACTTTAGGTTGTGGGTCACTTAGGCCCTATTCTTTTGAGCTGTTCTGCTCTGCCTGCTCTGCTCTGTTGAACTTTGCTCTACACTTCTCTACTCTGCCCTGTTCTGCTCTGCTCTACTTAAAAATAATAATAATTATTATTAATATTTAATAATAATAATACTAATATTTATAGATAATAATAATTAATATTTAATAATAATAATAATAATTAATATATAATACTAATTGATGATAATAACTAATATTTAATGATAATAATTAATATTTTATATTATTTAACACATTTTCTAATGTTATAAAAATAGTAAAAAATTCTAAAAAAACTCAAATAATAATAACAATAATAATAATAACAATAATAATAATAATAAAATAATGCAATAATAATAATAGTAATAATAATAATAATAATGATAATAATAATAATAATAATAAAAATGATAATAATAGTAATAGTAATAATAATAAATAAATAAATAAATAATGATAATGATGCGATAATAATAATAATAATAATAATAATAATATTAAATATAATAATAATAATAATGCGATAATAATAATAATAATAAAAAAATTAATTAATGATAATAATGCGATAATAATAATAATAGTAATAATAATAAAGCTTGTGATGCAGAGGGTGACCAAGACCATTGCGCTTATTATTGTAACTTAAGGCATGTATCAGAGTTTCTAAACTCTACTTTGCATTGCGTACTTGTACTCTTAGTACTATGAGACGGCTCAGCGCATATTCGACAGGGCTCTTCGATCTTCCTTGGAGCGTATTGTTACAGCTTCGGGGCCTAGGTTTGGCGATTGGCAATGGCGACTTGCCACCTTACCATTTGCCTTTGGAGGGCTTGGGGTATATTCAGCAGGTGATGTTTGTCATTATGCATTTCTTGCTTCTCGGTTACAGTCTGATGGGTTGCAGACACGGCTTTTACGGCATGCTGGCATTTTGGTCTTGGATGAGCCTTTGGAGATGCGTTCAGTCTATTTAATGGAATAGTGGAGTATGACATTATGAGTAATCCTAGTGAGGTCGCTGCCCCTAAACTCATGAAGAAATTGGCATATTTATATTTCACAAAGGTTACCGCTTCTGCAGAATCCGCCTATTCTTTGTCTCCCCGACAATTAGCACTATGGAAATCGCAGCAGGGAGATCACACCTCTACTTGGCTTCGGGCAGTCCCTATTTCTGGGTTGGGTTAGACGATGAACACAAAGACCTACCCATGTTTGTTGTGCTACAGGATGGGTGTTCCATTTTTCTTTATCTCGACGCCGTGCTCTACTTGTTCTTGGGTTTTTACTGGGGATATTTTCGGTGATCACGCGGTGTCGTGTGCTGGTATTATGGGTATTAAACATCGTATATTGTCCGGGATACCCTTGTTGATATCTGCTACAGATCTGGGATTTTAGCAAGAAAGGAGGTTGACATAGGGTTGTCTGGCGGGAATGACGGGGCCCTCAGACCTGCTGATGTGTTACTTTATTCCTGGGATTGTGGTCGCGATGTTTGTGTGGACTTAACCGGGTCTTCTCCTTTGACACAGACAGGGCTATCTGACTTTGTTCCTGGATGGGTTGTGGCTGATGCGGTTCATCGGAAGCGGGAGAAGTATGAAGCTAGTTGTCGGCAAATTGGATATGGCTTCATTCTCTTCTCCTTTTCTTCGCTTGGGGAATTAGAGAAGGAGGCTGTTGCGTTGTTGAAGCGAGTTCAGAGGTTCTCGACGACGCAAGACATCGGGGCTCATACTGCAGCTTATATCTTCACTAGGGTAGGCTTTGCTATAACTAGAGGAGTGGGGGCCCAAATTGTATCTCGGCTTCCCACTAATTTATTGTAGGTTGTATGACTTTGTCTGTTTTTGAGATATAATAATAATAATAATAATAATAATAATAATAATGCTGAAATCTGCCATGCTCTACTGAAATTTGCTCTACTCTGCTCTGCCAGAAACTCAAATGAACGAAACCTTAGACCATTTTTAAGATACACAAAAGAGGTAAAATTATTCTCAAATTTTTATAAGATGGGACTATTTTGAAAAAACTTATTAAAAATAGGATTATTATTGTGAATTTTTCCTTTAAAAAATTGAAACTTTTTACCTCACCTCATTAAACATGAATTTGATAATTTGAATTCAAGTTTTATAGGCGTGTCATTATTTATTTTTTTCTTTTTTTTAAAGGGCCATCACTATTCCTCATTTCCTCCTAGATCTATATTTCTTTCTCACGTTTGCGCTGCCTCGCTGCACCTCTTCTCTCTCCTCCATTGAAGCGTACTGTGGATTCTCCATTAATGCGACTTGTGAGCTTTATCTCCTCCATTGAAGTGGCTTGTGAGCTTTATCTCCTCCATTGAAGTGGCTTGTGAGCTCTATCTCCTCTATTGAAGCAGCTCCCGAGGTAAGATATTTATTTTATCGTTTAATTTAATAGTCCTTTTACTCAGTATAGTCAAATTAGGGTTCTTCAAAGGCTGATTATTGAGCAATTGGTTACAAAAACTCAAGTTATGAATGATTATAACAAGCGATCTCGTTGCTAGAGTTTCGCTATTTATATACTTAAATTAAGAGGAGTTCAACTTATTTTTTCGAGCCTACTTTGATAAATTGAGTCAACTTTGGTTGATAATGTGTTGCAGGCTTTGGTTTATATAACCATTTAATGTCAGGATGAACCGATGAAACCATGTAAATGAAACTTTGGTTTATATATATTTAATATTAATAATAATAATGATAATTATATTATGCTGATTGATTAAAGTATAATGTTTAATTTTAAGGGGAAAAGAGGACATACATTGCTGCTTAATTGGGGAGATCTAAATGGGTAGGTCTGTAAGATGAACAGCAACTGTCTTGTCCACCCAAGACGGAACTTCTTCAAGGTTTTTGATACTGGTGTCGTAGATTAATCTTCACGCCTCGCCTTCATGACGACCAAACGTGCTTATAAGCTACGTATCCTTTTCGTTCTTATGCGATTGTTACTTTTCTCTTTGGATCATTTTGTTAATTTTCTGAGTTATGAGATATTTTTTTTGTCAATGCTTGGAAACTGTGGCCCTAATTGCTTCATCAGTGTCCTAAATCGTTAAATTTTCCCTGTTTCGGTACTACATTGTCCAACGATGGTTCTTTTATTTTTATGTATCGTGTCTATGGATTTGTTTCCTTAACGGATTGGTTACAGAGGAATTTGTAGCACATACTTCTGCTGTCAATTGCCTGAAAATCGGAAGGAAGTCGTCAAGGGTTTTAGTCACTGGAGGGGAAGACCACAAAGTCAATCTTTGGGCCATTGGAAAACCCAATGCCATATTGGTTAGTTCATTCAGCTTCAACATGTATATTTACTTTTACTTCAACAGTCTTGTTCAAAACAAATTGGTTAATATTTTGTTTTATGCTGAAAAGGGGGGGGGGGGTTGGAGTATTAAGATTACACAAAAGGAATTTTTGCCTTAAAGGTAAAACAGAGGATAATAAGGGGAAAAGAACATGTAGTAGTTTGGTTTAAGTGCCAGCCACGCTTCATAGAATTACAGGGTGGAGTTGTGATGCTACCGGAATCGGTAAACTTGTTTCAGACTAACAATACAAACTTATTATAAGTATCAAGAAGCATATGACTTGGCCGGAATTAATTTACTTCTTGCCTTTATGTCGAGTTTGTGAAGGGAAAGTAACTGAAAACTTTGGAGTGTTCTACATATTGTTTGGAGAAGTGCCATAGAAGATATCCACTAAGGCATTTAAGTTTTCTCAATTTTTTTAGTTCTTGTTCTTCATTGATCATATTAAGTTCCTCCTTTGTGGTGTTGAACATTTTTCTTGCTTATAAAAAACTTCATCATGTAAAGAAGAAAGCATGGGGATGCTACGTGGTATATGGTACCTTTTTTTTTTTTTTTTTTTTTTTTGTGGTTGTTGTTGTTGTTCCTGTCTTTTTAATTTGTAAAAAAGATGGGCCAATTGGTGGTTATGGTTCTCCCAGAGAGTTGGCTCAAGTGTAGCTTTGTTGTAAGTATCACTACAATCTTACAAATAAGAAGAGGCTTCTCAGACGTATATTGAATGCACTTGTTTTACTCAAATACCTGTGGTTCATAATTTGTTGAAATTTGTCTTCCTTTTTAACTATGACTTCTCATGCAGAGTTTGTCAGGTCACTCAAGTGGGATTGACTCAGTAGGTTTTGATTCTTCAGAAGTTCTTGTTGCTGCTGGAGCAGCAAGTGGAACAATCAAGCTTTGGGATCTAGAAGAAGCAAAGAGTATGTATACCAACTGTAATTAGGCCCATTGCATTTGCAATGTCTCTGTATTTGTTTTTGAGGCTCCCATCTATATGAAATAATGTATATTTCTTTTAGTTGTTCGAACACTCACGGGCCATAGATCCAACTGTATATCTGTGGACTTCCATCCATTTGGGGAGTTCTTTGCATCTGGATCTCTGGATACAAATTTAAAGATATGGGATATTAGAAGGAAAGGTTGCATTCACACTTACAAAGGCCACACTCGAGGGGTCAATGCCATTAGATTTACCCCGGATGGGCGCTGGGTTGTATCCGGTGGTGAGGACAACACTGTCAAGGTTAGATTTGTCTTTCTGAAATTTATAGAGTAGTTGCAGTATAGTGAGATTTCCCCTTTTACTTCATAATACTAGCTTCTAGTGAGTAGTGACTACTGAGACTAGTGACTACCTAAGTGTTTTTTTTTTTTGCCATGTCTAGAGTAAATTATGATCATTTTACCTTATTTATTTGTTTTGTTTTTCATTGTCGCACACATTGGAAGATGCAGGAATTTTAAGATGGGATACTAAATAATGTCAACCTGACAATTTTTACACTTTTAACATTCTTTCTTTCATTGTTGCAACTTGCAATATTGAAATAATTGAACAATATTATTGCTTCACTGAATTTAGCTATTTCTTGTAAATTTAAGGATGCTGTTACCATGTTTAGGCATGTAGGTCCATCAATGGTCATCATCTGACACATTGATAGAACTTAATCGCATGCTAATCTAGCAACAGATATTACAAAAACTTTAACCTATTGTGATTAAGATACTGATTGAGTGATTGGTACCAACCATGATATTGTACTTTATTCACATTTCACGATTATTGTCTACCTCTGCATATATTCCAAGACTTTGAGAACTTCCTCTTTTATGTGTAAACCTCAACAGTAAAACAATGCTCTTAAATGCTATTTGATGATATATATATCCTTAACTTGCTTTTAAAGTCTTGATTCCAAAAGCTGAATGTTTAGGCTGTGGTTTCTTTGAAGTGCTAAAGTTCTAGTCATAGTGCAATATGGAATGCAGCACCCAGATTCCCAGAATTATGATAAATGTTTTACATCTTTAAAGGGCTAAGTGGCTACCATAGTGTTGATTGTTACCAAACAACAATGTGGAGTTATATCTCCAACAAAATCAATGCTAACTTCAAATATTTTGAGGATAGCACTAATCAAGTCATTGGGGAGTTAGAAATACGTGGCAAGAGGGAAAGGCTATATCTAATGCTTCTCTCTAACCCCTTAAAGCGTTATGGTTCCCGCTTTGCACTTCAATTGAAAAACAGTAAACAGTACTCACTACCTTATTATTTTTATCCACTTATACTAAACAAAACCCCACAACCAACATCCTCTTAAAATTATGTTCCCAAGAGAGATGAGAAGTTCTTTGTGGGACGAAGGGAGTAAAACATCTCTTAGTTTGACCCAAAACATAAAGGGGATAAAGTAACAAACCTGCTATTTTAGCTGTACATATAGCTTTAGTTGGCCCAAGATAAGAAAGATTGGGGGGGGGGTCTTACTCTTGTTTTGTTTTTAGATTAGAAAGTTGCGCAAGCCTTATCAACTACTTCCAGGTTGCAAAGCCTTAACCTGTGAAAAAGTTATGAGTTGCTGATGATGGAAGCTTTGGAGGTGCTATATTGATAACTGTTGGTTTACCTAAGTTCTTTATTAGCTTGAGCCATAGCTTTTCTATGTTGTATGACTTGATATATTACCAATATTCAATATGCCTATGGTTTTTTCATTCCATTAGCTTGGTTGATTTCATGAGGAGGAAGAGTTAATCATCTTTGCTCTTACGTATTTGTGTCCTTTGTTTGATATTTATCCTTACTTATGTTTGGGATGAGTTGGGTATCTCTACCAATGATATTTCTGTGGCGTGTAAAATAAAAAGGAAGAAAGGTTGGATTGCTGAAATATGGAGATGGTTTTGTTGGAAGAAATCATTAGATTTTAAGGATGGAGTTTGCACACATCAAGAGTTCAAGTTCTTATCTTTGAGGCTATTTAATTGGTTAAATCGAAATCTTTGGGGAGCTTGATGTTTCTTTATTTTGTAGACAAATTGTTATCGTAACAGTTTGAGGGCACACTTTTAACCTTAAGGTGACCCTTGCTTGGCTTTTTTTTTATTTTTTTTTATTTTTTTAATAAATGTCTTTAAACCTATCCAAAAGATTAAAACTTGTTTTTCTAAATGCCACATTGTATGGGGAAAGAAAGATCCTTTGTGTAATTGTAGCATGACAAAAGCTACTTTCATATATTTTGTCATTATAAAACGTGGAAATTAATTGGTATCCAGTACCCATGTATAAGGAAAATTAGTACTACCTCCGGTTCGTATTATATGCAACTTTAGAAATTTTTCTGGTCTCACAAACAATACACCAAAGTTGTATATAATACGAACCGGAGGTAGTAGTTATTTTGGGTGGAGACAGTTTAACTGTTTACCTCTTTTTGCTTCTTTTTCTGCAGTTGTTATTGTGTAAACAATTCAATTAGGGTGCATTTATCTCATATATTTACTTGCCTATTTATTTATGTGAAATTGTTTAAGAAGCAGAGTACACGGTCCTTATTATGATGCCGTTCTTTGACAGCTGTGGGATCTGACAGCCGGCAAACTACTGCATGAGTTTAAGTCTCATGAGGGGCAGGTTCAATGCATAGATTTCCATCCGCATGAGTTTCTTTTGGCTACAGGTTCATCACGCTTCCTTTTAGCTGAATATCATTTTTCTTTCTTTCTTTTTTTTTTTTTTTTTTTTATTTTTTTTTATTTTATTAAATCTGTTGATTTTTGTTAGAGTAGCTTTGAAAGAAATATTGATATTGCATTAGCTTCATCTTTTCTTCAACAAAGTTTTAGATTAAGAGCTATAACAATAGATGAAAGTGGATTGGGTGTCTGTAATAGAGTTCACACGAAACTTTGGATTTATGGCACAATTTTTTTTATTTTTTTTATTTTTTTATTTTTATTTTTTTATAATGTATCATAAGTCTGTATGGGGTTGGAGTTTATAGAGGTCCATTTTTATTGTATTATTGCTTCATATTATAGGGTCATGATGAAATAATGAAATATAACCGGGAGTGGGTTTTAATGAATTAGATGTCCTTGAGCATACATACTTCCTCCGTTCCACATATATTTTTATCATTTGGGCTTTTCCGCTATTCACATACTCCCATATAATCATCTATTATGATTTATACAAAGGGGAAAGGAATCTTGTTACATTCGTCTTGATAGATACTTTCAAAATATCAACATTTTATTATATTACTTAGAATATAATTGAAGATACAAGTGATTAAAGTTGTGTGTTGGGAAGTGTAAATTCCTAAATGTTGCAATATTTATGTAAAGAAGGAAGTGTAATTTAGTATCTGTAATGAGCTACTAAACACATCATATGGCTTTGAGATAAAAGTTGACATAGGTTGTATGACTTGTATCTACCCATTTGGTTTGTATCAGTATCTTTAGCATAAAGAGTCATGTCAATATATTTTTCTGATGTTCGTATTGTATACACATGAACTTAACTGAATGTTACTCTCCCTTTTGTGTTATCTGTGTGCTGACCTTTGTATCTACTTTGCTTATGTCTTGCATAGGTTCTTCTGACAAAACAGTCAAATTCTGGGACCTTGAGACTTTTGAGCTAATTGGTTCAGCAGGACCTGAGGTAAAAATTCCAAACAATGCTTAATCAGGCTTTGACTTCTTCCATCTTTTATTTTGTAGATGTATTTCATGTTCCTCAGTTTCTGGTGTCAAGTCACTCATTAGTTGATTTATCTTTTGCCCATAAGACATCAGGAGTGCGTTGTATGGCCTTTAATCCTGATGGGAGGACCCTGCTCTGTGGATTACATGAAAGCCTAAAGGTACTTATCCATCCCTATATCTGCTGGCAATAAATAAAACTTGGGGATATTTGTTTCTAATAATTGCATGCCAAATTGATTCGTCTTTTAATCCCACAATGTAGGTTTTTTCTTGGGAACCGATTCGTTGCCACGATACCGTGGATGTTGGATGGTCTAGGTTGTCAGATCTGAATGTGCATGAGGGAAAGCTTCTTGGATGCTCTTACAATCAGAGCTGTGTTGGAGTTTGGGTGGTTGACATCTCGGTAAGTGAATTTATAATCAAATCAATATGTCCAGTGGACTGTGTATGCGGTTTTTTTTTTTTTTTTTTTTTTTTTTTTTTTTTTTTTTTTTTGGTGTGTGCGTGTGGAGGTTGGTTAACTAATTTTGATTTACAGTTAATTGATTTGTACATTGTTACTTTGTTCTCAGCGGATAGAGCCATATTCAGTTCGTACGCGCTCCAATGGACATTCTGAATTGAAGTCTGCTTCATCTGGTAATTTGTCATTGCAAAACGAAAACCCTGCTAAGGTTGGATCAGGCGGGCTATCAACATCACATAATTCAGATTTGGCAGAAAAAGAATCAAAACCTTCAGGAAGGCATTTGGTAAATTCAAACCAATCAAATAAAGATTCCAGAGTCTCTCCTAGTATGTCAACAATCCACTAGACTGTCCTCTTTATTTACCTCTGTTCCTCTCTGAGCTATATTGCGCTCTCAAATGCTGTTGTTCAGAGATATGATGCTGATTCGTTTTCCTATTGGTTATGTTTGCTCTTAGATCCCGGTGGTATGCCTAGCACCCCTCAGCGAGTCAATATGAGCACTAGTCCAAGAAACACATTGCAACATACAGCGGTAGTTCAGAAAAGGAATTCCTCAAAAACACAATCAACGCCAAATGCTTCTATAAACAGTAAACCTGATGTTACGCCCATAATTGTCCCAAGAGATGATGCAAGACTAGAGCAAGCAGAATTCAAGAGGGAAGTATTTTCCAGGAGAACTGTTCCTCATCCTTCACAGTCTAAGTCTTCTGAGTCGAGAAGGTTTTCAAGCGCAACTGAAGAATTTGATGGGCCAACTAATACTGTCCAACCTGAAAACACAGCTGTTAAGGCACCAGAAATGAGCGGAGTTGCAAACAAGAGTATGTTACCTGCTGTCAGAAACCTGAATACTAGTCTTCCTGTTACAGAGAGGAACCTGAAAGAGGATAGGTGTGTCGGCTCAATGAAGGTTGAATCTAATTCCTCATTGCTGCCTCTTACCAGCTCTCCACTTGACAATTGTATGTCCTCTGATAGCTTCCTGTAATATTTTTATTTTAATGCACTAATTTACCACATCAAGTACGAGTTTGATAACTTTGGCTTGAATTGACCTAGTAATGCATTAATTAACTACATCACGTTCTAATTGGGGCATCTGTTGCCAATGGAAACTTGTCACATAACATTTCATTTGTGCTAGACACTTAAATTTTTATCCATCTCCGAATCTTTTCCATGAGTCAGTGTAACACAGTAAACAACATTGAAGCAAGGTGGTGCTATGCAACTGGTCGGGTAACTAAGATATGAAAGTTATGATGAGAGTATCGAATTTGTACTCTAGCTAGTAGCAAGTTTGCATTGGTTCTTCTGTCCTGATACAATCATTCTTGTGTCTCAGCTGTGGTCCTTCTGTATGGTGAGACTGACTGCAAATGTGTAGAAAACCATTTTGTAGAGCTAAATGGCTTAGCTTTCCTGCTTAGTGTTATTGTGGTTGAAGCTCACTTGACACCATTTTTAAACACTTATGAAAATCATATCATTTTTCGTCAAGGTTTCTTTTCTCCATCCTTCATCAGATTACTGAAAGTTCTGAAAATATAGTAGTCTATTATATGATATATCCTGACTTCCTGAGATACCCATGGAAAGACACATTGGGCCCAGTGAGAAATTTGCTTGTGAGCCTTTTATGCTCTTTGCTTGCTGATTTGATCTGATCTGATTTGGAGCTTAGTGTTATTCGAGAAAGTCTTTTTCCCAAGTATATAATACCTTTTGGGTATAAATATAGGATCTTTTGCTCAGTGTTCCCATCATTGACTAAGATTGTGCTATTTTACATGCAATCATCCAAGCTTTTCAAGTTTCGGATAAGGGATTTCTTAACCTTTAAATATCTCACGGGACTTAAGTTTTCCATGATCTTCATTAGAAGTGTGTATTATGGATTTCTATATAGTTATATATATATTTGTTTATTATTATTATGATTGACTATTGAGTTACATTTCTCTAAAATTTCAATTACTATTAATTTCAAAAACTAAGCACAAGAATTATCAAGTTATCAAATAAATGGAGGATTGTTAGAACATTGATATGATAAATGTGCTTATGCTTCACATATTTATATTGCTACCACTTGAGGTTGTGTGGAGCGATATAAAGATAGTAATTGTATTGTTCATCCGTTTGTTTTTTTAGTTTACACCATTTGACCTTTGCACTAGTCACAAACTACACTTTGCCTAGCTTTTGTGATTTATAGCTACGATAAAACATAGTCATGTAGGATCTTGTTTAAATCATCTCAATGATTATATTATTAATCAAGAGACTTGTGTTTCTTGGTGCAATGACTTATTTTCACATCATTGTCTATAAATAGAGGATACATGACACATGTGATGGATGATGAGAAAATCAATTTCTCCTGCTTCTCTTCTTGACACAAACTGGTGGTATTTTCATGAGTGTTAGTTATCACAATAACATTCACTAACTTTTTGTAGATTTAGTTGAACAACCTAAATCAATTAGTCTCTTCTTTGTATCTCATTAGTTATATCGAGTAACCCTGTTGTTTCTTAGTGGATCGATATTAAACTATTAGGAAAGCAACATTAAGCTATGCTTAAGTCATTAACTTTCCCTGGTCTCACTAACTGGTTAGAACCCATGAGAAGTATCCTTCATGTGTGTCTGATTTTTTTTTTTGAAACATGTGTCTCTGAATTTGCGTGTGTTTATGTCTTTTTTTATTATTTTTTTTTAATTAATAAATGTATCTGCAGAATCTCAACTGTTACATGTGTATTTTATCAGTATTGTTCACGTGTCAGGGTTGAGGATGGCATATTAATGAGAGATTTGGGAGAAACAGGGATTGCTCATGTATGGTGTTAATTTTTAAAGGCATAGAGGCCTTGAAAGGGGACTTCAAGGTTTCGAAGCAGTATAAAAATATCATGTATTAGAAAATGTTGTAGGGTCTTAAGATTGACTCTTAAATTGTAGAAACTGTGGAAGTAACAAATTTCAAACTTATGATTGATATGTATAAAACCAGAAAATCAAATTCTGATTCCTCAGCTATGACAATATAAGTGATTGTTTGTCGTATATTTTCTTTCCAGATGAAATTCGAGTACCTAAAACAAGTAAAGATGCTGGTTCCACAGAACGTGCTGGTATTACCTTGATCCCTGATAATTTCTTCTTTTTTGATGTTCCAAATTGCCTTATATATGGTATCTTTATATCTGATTTTGTGTTCATTCTACGTGAACTAGGAAGAACCCGGTCATTGGTTGCAAACTGGGAGAATAGAGAAAGATCCCCCTCTTCTGAAGATCTTACTACTACCAGCAGTACCTCTATTGCAAGCAGTGCTGTTGACTCACGTCCTATTAAGATGGTATGCCCTCCATGATCCCTTATGCTGTCACCCTTTTCGTTCATATGCTTTTTTATGGCTACTGCTTGGTATTCTTAACATTGTGGTATTAGCTCTGATACTTTATTGGATACCGTATGCCTATGATTATATTATCTCTTTCCTATTGTAATTGTTTAGGTGCTGAGACTTTAGCATTCCTTTTGTCCCTGCTCAAACTGAATAGTAATTTGGGGTACAATGATTAAATTGAGAGAAAAAAGTGGGTGGTGGGTTGGCGGTGTTTCCCAAGCAGAGAACAAACATACCAAAAGGAAAATGCCTTACTTTTAATCTGCCATTATTGTGATTTTTAATTTCGAACTAAGACTCAGGGATTATTATTTCATTATGAACAGCTTTATCAAGGGAAATTAAAGTTAGTTATCCAATTGTTAAGGTTGGTTCAAACAGTAGGGAGTAGAGCACATCCCGAGGTAGACTTCCATGAGTTTAGAATCTTACTATGTTATGCATATATGTGCTTGTATTCCACGCAAAATGGTTTCATATGTTTGTTTTCCAGCCAATTAAAATGCACACTTTAATGGCTATCCACAATTAGGATTTTTCTTTATTCTAAAATGTCAACATTGTCCAAGCTAGAACCAGATTGAATTTCATACAGTGATAACTTAATAGTCATTTGGTGACCATCTGTATAATTTGAATACTGATAAATGTACAATGTCATTGTGTTTATATTTTCTCTCTCTTGGCAGGAGTATGTAGGTATTTTTAAGCTTCATTTGTTTCTATCTATTTTTTTTATTATGGAAAGGGGAGGTACAAACGTACAAGTTCTTGTTTTTTTTTTTTTTTGTTTTTTTGTTTTTTTTTTTTTTTTTTTTTTGTTTTGGGTAAATAAAGATTTTATTACCAAAGGCAAGAAAAAAGTACAACTTACAGCAAGCTAAGTTGCACCCCCCAACCACACAAGCCTAAACAGGCAACCAAACCACCCAAAGTTCTGACTACAGTGATGCCACCTTCTAGGAAGGGTTCACCAAAGTAGACAGAACAGCAAGACTGGACTCAGAGAACAGACCACCTTCTAGGAAGGGTGCCTGGACCCAGGACCAGACAAGACACCAAACAGACGAGCAAAAAAGCAACCAAACTGCCTGCAAAAGCTGAACTCAGAACTCAGAAGCCCAAAAGAGGCAACTAAAGCTCAGGAACAGGACAAAAAGATCAGGCTATCAAAAGCTTCCTATCTTTATCACTACCTCTATAAGCAGCATTAAAACTTACATCTCTGTAAACTTGAATAGAGGACTTGCAGCTGCCAGTAAAGATCAATGAATATCTCTGCATCCAGATACTAGTTCTTGTTTGATTTCACTGAAAAGGAGATATCTTAGTGAAGTTTTGTTGTGAAATTGGTTTAGGTGTTTAGCAGATTGCATGCTGTATTTTGAGAATGAGTGCTACATTGGATTGTTTAGAGTTTGGGTCTGGAATACATCTGTTTCTCTTCCCTCAAAAGGATGTAAATATTCCTGTGCTTGACATCCTATTGAGTCTTATTCTCTTGCAGATTTTCATTGCTTCTTTTAAGTGAGTGTGTGTGTGTTCATTTTCGCCTATGGTATTAAATATTCCTCGTCTGCTTTCTACAAATGTAGTAATCTCTATATTTTTTGTGATAATCCACAGAAATCTAAGCCGCGGGGAAATTCTCATTCAACTGAAAAAGACATGCCTTCAGTGAGTTCAGTCACAGACGATGATATTATTGCCCAGATTATTGGAAGGCACGATCATTTTCTTTGTTCTATGCAATCACGTCTGGGTAAATTACAGGTATCTGCCAGAACCTTCTGTTTCCCTATTATTTTTTATTTTATTTTTTAATTTTCTTTTTAATTTTTTTTTTTATAAAATTGGTTCTTTTTCTTCCCCCATTATTTGAACACATCTAATTTTATGGGAGTCTAGGATAAACTTGAAGCTAAGAAAAATTATGCTGATAACAACTTAACCCTTAGAATAAAAACTCAGCCGTGACATCGGCTGAAACAAAGCGGCAAAGTCTTTATTATCATTATTTTTTCATGGGTCTTGTCGGGGACCTGGAATATGGGGGTGGGTGGGAAATAAGTTTCAAGAATATGAAGTGCACAACATAGAATAAACACTCGGCCATGACATCGCGATGCGGCCGAGATGTAACGGATTTGAAGCCTGCCGTTACGAGATTTACCGTTTTGTAACAGAGTTTTAAGAAACCCCGCATTTTTGACCGATACGGTCGATACACAACTGAATCGCCAAAAAAAAAAAGCTTAAATCTGTGAGTGGGTCGGAGTTTTGTGGCAGACTCCATTGTTGCCGGCGTGTAGCAAGCTGTAGCAACCGCATGAATGCATGATAGAGAAATAGAGAGAGAAAGAAGAAGAAAGCTAAAGGTTGAGGGCTGATAACAACGAGGTAAATTTGTGGTTGGGAGGCTTGGGACAGCTGTTAACAATAAAAAGGTGGACAACTGTCTATTTTTTATTTTATATTTATTACTTTTTCACCCACTCAACCTCTCCTTTTAACTATAGTACTGTAATTACTTCGTACGAAGTACTACATTACTTTGTTTAAAAAAAAAAAACTATATTACTTTCCATCTCTTATTATTATTATCATTATTTTATGATAAGTTCAATCTTAATCTATATGATAAGAATATATCTATTCAAAAATTTAAACAAATTATCTAAGAATAATTTTTCTTTGATATCTATAAAAACAAAATTTCTACCGCGATGACCGCTATGCGGTCCGCGATCAACGCATCGATTCCGTTACCGCATCACCGCGACCGTTCCCACGATCGCTACCGAAACCGCATTTTTATTCTATGGTGCACAGAAACCTGCATGTGTTTTCTAATATAAGTCTTAAATTGCTAAAGTTACCTCAACCGGCATGTAAGTCTCTGTTGAGTGACAGGTGAGAGGATAGGCATTGTAAAAGATGGAGGGGAGTTGTTTGATGCACATCCTTTTTATCCTCTTGGAATGGGAGTTCAAAGCTGGGAGCTGTATCTCAATTTCCAACATTTAACTTTTATTGGCTTGGTATTCCTTCATAATAGCAGTTCATGCATCAGTACTGTACTACTATGTACCTAGATGCTAGACCCTAAATTTAAGTTACCAACTGATCAGTCAACCATGGCTTAGTTATCACAATATCTTTCACCAGAAAGTAATTTCTGCTGTTTGTGATGCAGAATAGAAAAACAGGAACAGTTGGAATAATTTTAGAACCTAATATAGTATTGGGCATTTACGTGTACATTCCTTTATGCCTTCTTTTTTCCGAGTGGAGAGATGATTAACTTAGTTGTCTTTCAAGTGCAACAACTTTTATTTGTATAATTGTATCTTTGCTGTTTCTTTGTGAATTTCTCTTTTTGCAATCGCAGCAGTGCATATCTAGTGTCCCAAGACCTCTCTACTTGTCAAAAGGTCCAACCTATTATGAGTCGTTTCTCCTATGATATTTTTTTTTTTAAGTTTTAAAAGTGTACTTTCCAGTCTGCTGGATTAAGGAGTTTCCTGTTTCATCTGACCTCTATTTCTTTCTTTGATCTTCATGACTTCATCTTAAATAACTCTTTTGGTTCTTTACCCTTTCCCTTAACCTCTTTTCAAGTCTTGACGGCATCGAGGGCCTTGGGGCAAAGCCAATAATACTTGATTTTGTCCAATTTACTTAGGTAGTTATTCCTCCTGCTTACTTATATTTAGTAATGTTTATGGAAGCTTATTCGAAGATAATCTTATCTGTTCTGGTTGTCTTCCTTTAATTTTAGCGTCAACTAGTTCTTTGCTAATCTCATGTCCATAACTTGTGCCTCAAAACATCCAACCTTCTCCCACTCTTTATATGGCAGAAAGGTTACAGGAAAGTAACTTGATTTCTGAAGCAAACCTCTAAGAACTACTATTATGCTACCTCAATGTTTGGCCTCTTATTTGCTCTCTATTGAACTGAAATAGTAGAATACTTTGTTTTAATGAGCTCACACCTCTAGTCTTTGAAAACAAAAGGAGACTAAGTCTGGTCTATGTATTAGCAGTTCCTGATAAGATTTCACAAAAAATCACTAAATGCTTGACTGCCTTACAAATCTTTTGTCATAAAGGCAGTAAAATCTCAAGAGTTTTTTGATGATTTGGAAGCAGGAAATTTGTCAATTTGTAGTTTGAAGATCATCAATTATATTATTGGTACTGAACAAGAACGAGGTGTCTCTGCCAGCATTTTTTTTTTTACTTGGTCAGCTTAACCTTTTCTGATGTTTTTTCAGGCGGTGCGTAGATTTTGGGATCGTAATGATGTTAAAGGGGCTATAGGTGCAATGGAGAAGATGGCTGATCATAGTGTAAGCCTTCTACTTCTGATGTATTTTCCACTTTTCCTTTTATTTCCCGAAGACACTTCCTTATCATTAAAAAAAAAAAAATAGAAACTCTTTAGCTCAGAGCAGGTTCATTCTCCAATCACTATGTAATGCAGGTCATTGCTGATGTAGTTAGCCTTTTGACAGAGAAAACTGACGTTGTTACATTGGAGATTTGTACGTGCCTCTTGTCACTACTTGCAAGCCTTCTTGAGAGTGATATGGATAGGTAAAAAGCTTGCTGCAAATTTTTTATGCTTTCAAACTAGTCTTCATAGCAGTGATATTATTGTAAAATGGAGAGGCAAATCGGCATATTGGTGCAATGTTGCCTCACCATGGCACTACCAAAAAGGGTCATTCTGATATAAAATGCTTTGTAGAAACCCATTGATTATGTGGTTATATATATATTTTCTAAACAGCCATATGACTATGACCTGATGTTATAATGATAACTTCTACATGATTATAACTAAATTACAGAAATGAATATTGCTGTAGCAGAAACTACCAATTTATAATCTCATTAAAGTAAATGTAAAGATTTCATTAAAATTTATTAATGCTGTTACAAATTCGGTTCATGGATTTTGAAGGGTGAAAGAGAAGAAGTTGGAGTTGCTAAATACTCCCTCCGTTTCTTAATGATGTTCCCATTTGGAATATTTTGTGTAAATTAAGGTAAGGGAAGAATCTTGAGATGAAGTACATTTGGACCATTTAAATATTATGGGACCATCCTTTTTTTTGGAAAAAAGTACATTGGGACCACTTATATTTTGGAATAAAGCACATTGGGACTATCTTTTTTGGATTGGGACCATTAAAATGAGGGTATTATGGGAAAATAATGAGAATATGTGAGAAATTAAAATAGAAAGTAAGAACATCATTTTGAAACACCCGAAATGGAAAAAAGGATGTGGAACAGAGGGAGTAACATGATGATCGTCATTTGGACCATTTGGCTGGAACAAAATGGTCATAGCTGTAATGGAGTTGCCTTTTCTCTTGATAATTCATGAGACACAGTAACCTTGTTAGTGTCCTTATGAGCTAAGGCACCTTAGTGTCACGACTCGTCTCCTAACCCAATGAGCATTGTTCGGTTTACCCCTATATCCGTGATATGGCCATATGATTATTTGTGCTACATACCTCGGTGATGTTGCTTGAGGTTTATTGCTTAGAGAGTGCCATAACCTGAAAAGATGTACTGTCGAGGTGGCAATGCCATTTTAATGGTGTTAGCCTTGGAAAGGAATTTAATTTTAAGGTTTTGGCAGTGTATATAGCAAAGGTCTCAATGCTTCTGTTTCCTGGTTTTTTTTTTTTTTTTTTTTTTTTTTTTTTTTTTTTTTTTTTTCAAAGTTGGTATTTTTTATATAGTGAATGTACATAATTATATCTTTTTTTGAAGGTCTTTAAATTAACAGCTTGAATATACTCAGGCATTTAGGTGTTTCACTTGATATGCTGGTAAAGCTGGTGAGAGTATTCGGTTCAGTCATTTATTCTGCAGTATCAGCATCATCTTCTGTGGGTGTGGATATTGAGGCAGAGGAAAGGTGTGTATTCTTTCCTTGACTTGCAGCATTGTCTATGTTGCTACTTATATTTTGAAATTTTGATTAATTCGGTCATCTATCCTGAATTAATTGTGCTAAAAGAGTGAAAGGGTAAATCTATCATGCTATATTGTTATTTGCTTCTGTAATGTCATGTGTACCTTTCAAGAAATTTCCTTGACACATATATAAACATGTTCAAGCTAAAGCTAAAGCTGGATAAGCGTAAGGAAATTTTGCGAAGGACTTTTTAGTTACTTATTTGTGAGAAAGAACCTTATATAAAAAAAGGTGCCAGATTGGGGCCTTATTACAAAAAAAAATTTGTGAGATGGGACCTTTTGACGGAATCCGGTCATTGACCTAAAATTTTCGGCGTTGTCTATCACCCTTTCCCCTTCGCCTTCCATTTTTTCCGTTTCCATCTCCCACTGCCATCATTCTTCGTCAGCCCTCGTCCTCCCCACCCTGAAATCCTATATAATCCCACTGAAAACCCCACCCCAGTGGCCCAACCCACCTGAAAAACCCTAACGAATCCACCTCACCCTTAGTCTTGGCCGCCATTGACTGCTTATGGCTAGGATGGTTTCGTTTTGGGGTTTTCAGGTGGGAGGGAGGGTTTTTGAGGGTGAGTGGGGTTCATTTTCGTTGGTGGTGGCCAGTGAGATGGCTAGGGATTAGTAGTTCAGCTTTCAAATGGTAGTGTTTAGGGTTTTGACGGTTGTTGCGATGGCTGGTTGGGGTGGAGGAGGTGACAGGGTGCAGGGGAGGGGAAGGAGAGCGAACGGTGGTGCTATAGTGGAGGGGAAGGAGGAGGAAGGAGAAGAGGGTTTTTTTTTTCAATGTCATGTGCGTGGCACGTGATCATGGTTTGAAAATGCGGTTTCGGTTTCAGTCGCGATCACGGAAACGGTCACAGTGATTCGGTTAACGGAATTGATGCTTTGATCGCGGTTGTCGCGCAAGAATTTTATTTTAAATTTAAGTTTTGATGTTTTTGTCTCGTATTTGTAAAATATCTTACTCATGCTTATCGTAATTGTATCTTGTATAGTTGTATGTTCTTTAAGACTTCAACTAGTACGTAATTGAAAAGGGGGGGGGGGGTAATTAAAAAAAAGGTTAATTGAAAAGGTGGAAATAAGGGGCGGGGAATGGGGACTAGTGGTCACGTGAGATGTGCAAAAAAAGAAGAGGGAAATGGAAAAGATGGTGGGGTCATCTGGTCAGGTAGAAATTTCTAAGTAAAAATTTTACAAAAACCTTTTTATTCAGACTCTGGATACCGAGAAAGTGATTTGTTTTCATGGAGTAGCATAAACCCTCGCTGAACATGTGGTCTAAACGCTTAAATTTTGGATTTTTTTTTCTTCGAATTCTGCCGGTAATGCTTGATGCGGCTGAGTTTCTTTGAAAATCGGTTGTAATCGCGGGGGTTTGAAAAGCGGCATGCTGAATCGGTAAATATCGTAACGGCAACTTGGAAATCCGTTACGTCTCGCCTAATTCGCGACGTAACGACCGAGTTTTCGAACTATGCATGTGATAGTCAATGCCAGAAATTTTGGGTCTATGGTCGTATTCCGTCATAAGGTCCCATCTCCCGAAAAAAAAAAAAAATGAAATAAGATCCCTATATGCCACCTTTTTTTTTGTAAGGACCTTTCTCACAAATAAGTTACTAAAAAAGGTCATTTCTTGCAAAATTTCCTAAGAATAACTCAAATTTGGCTTGAGCTCACCAGAGCTTTTTGACTGCTTGTTTGAGTTTAGCTTGTTAATACCTAAGGTTGTTTGAGTTCAATTTAAGTCAAACTATGGGCTAGAATATTTTAAAATGAGCTTTATATATGCTAACTGCTGGATCAAAAGAGGCTGTTATAACTCATAGGTCTTCACATGTGGGTATAATGGATTTGTGGAATGGGATTTTTGTTCTTTCCTTCATAGATTTTTCATGCTAGTTTTAATCCCGTGCAATGCATGGGTGTTAAATAGTTATATTGACAATATATTTATATATAATAACACATTTATAAAGCATAATGAATCACCCAAGTGTTAAATTGTATGAAATATATTAAAACAATTAAAACACATGAGATAAAATAATTACACATGTAATAATAGCTATAATGGGCAGTTTGATATTTTAGGAAGTCCACTTTAGATTTTGTATAAGATTTTTTTATAATACATTGCCAAGTGTCCCTCTTAGTATCGCCTTTGGTAGTATGTAAATAGATGTCTTATAAGCTACTCAGAATTTTTGTTTTTTCAAAACCATAATACGAAGTATTGCTTTACCAAACCTTGAAATTCTCACCGAGTTTAGCCAAGTTATTAATGCTTGTGAACAAATTTTTGAACCCATACAAATGAGTTGTTCATGAGCCTAAATGAGCTAAACACCATATTATTCGAGTTGGTTTGTTAACTAAATGAGCCTGACTTTTTTTCTAGTTTGTTTATGGATGGGTTTTGACTGATCTTTGTGTGTTGCTCACGATGGTATCGACTCATTAACATCCCTAAGAGAGGATGTGGAAAAAAATACAACTATGATGAACATAAAAATTTGGGTTGATGGTTGAGGAACTGACAAAGGTCATCTGACATAAGACAATATTGCCTCTGTTAAAATCTGTAGGTTGGAGCGGTGCAACCTTTGTTACATTGAACTTGAAAGGGTTAAGCTATGTCTGCCAGCGCTTATGAGGTTAGAGTATCTTCTGGGTGTGTTTTACTCTTTTTAAATTTGACTTTTGAATAACCAGCTCCTTTTGCTTTCTATAGAAAAGGGGGCTCAGTTGCGAAGTCTGCACAGGAGCTTAATCTAGCGCTAAGTTCTGCTTCTGAATGATGAGAGATTCCATTTCTTGATGGAACATAACATCCAAACCACCTGACTATTTAATCGATGAGACTGCTGCTCCTGATCTGTCCCAGTACAAGTCAAACACCATAATGCAGCATGCAAGTTCATGCTGTCTGGGCTTGTGTGTTTAATCACATGCTAACTGAAATCATTAACCAATATTGTTTATACTTCATGGCGACTGAAGGCGGAAGCTTGCTTGTGTAGCTCCACCTGCTAAAGTCACAAAGTAATGCAGGCGGCCACTGATCCATTGCGCCTCATGGAGCGAAAGCTATTGGTGCTTAAGTGCTTTTACTCCTCTAACCCAATATTCTGTAACCACTGGTTTCTTGAGTGAAGGTGTATTAAATTTCTTTTGCTCCCATTTGTATTTGTGTACCAAGAAAGTTGATTCACTCAAATATGCTTGTATGTTCAATTTTTGTGCGTGTCGTGTAGATAGCTTCACCCGTGTTGCTGCTGTTGCTTAGTTATCTTCAGTAGTACTAGCAAATTATGTTGGGAAATCTGTGAGGCTTCTATTATTGGTAGTAGATTTATTCTTTCCAAAGTAGGGTTTGAGAGTGTAAAGTCTTGGTATGGGGTACTGAAGATAAATGGTGCTCTTAATTTTTTATTGAAAACATTACTTATGGCAGTCTGCATTGTTTATATACTTCACCAGCTTCTTGAGCATATAGAATTGTTGTATGATGTTAATGATTTAACCTTAGCCTGTAGAGGCTGTTTGATCAAAGTACAATGCAACTCTCGATTATAATTTCAATTGGCATACAGGAGGAACCACATTTTGTAACATAAGACCAATGACTAGGTTACGGGGGAAGAGAAGGTGCTCTATTGGCAGGCTAACACCAGTGAATTAGTGGAGTTAATACAGTACGGAGTAATAAACTTTTACCATTGCTTAAAAATACGAATTTTATCAGACGTTTTTAACCATCCTAGAGAACTTGTTGATTTCCTTGTTCATGCGAAGCACAATTCCAACGTAAAATTGTATTTGGGTGGTTTGTTTACTGTTGGGCGATTGTTGAGCCAATAAGTACAATACATGCACAAATATTCATTAATCCCCTGAAGATTAAAGAAGCAATGTTAAATTTATATAATCATCTTATTATCACCCTACTCCCAATTGATGCAAGAAGATTAGCTAGCACTAGAATTATCTTTTGGTCCATCAGCATTACTTGGGCGTCAAGACGTACATTTTAACATCATGTGGGTCTATTTGAGCAGATATTTTTTTTTATTTTTTTTTTTTGACAAAGATTTCATATAACGAAACAAAAGTACAACAAGAGAGAAGTACAACAAGAGAGCTAACTAGAACAAGAAAACACAAAACAACAAAGGAAACTGAAAAACAGAAAACCAAAACAAAACAACAATCAAAAAGACCAGAAAAGAAAATAGCGTTGACGAGCATGAACAACCAACCAGTGAGCTGGAGCAACCCATGGACGAGGAAACTATCTGTTTCGGGTGAAAACAATGGGACCTTGCCGAAGGTCCGATGAAACGGAGAAGACTAGATTCGGTCCAAGTTATGTTGGGCCGAAGGTTTCCTGCACAGTAAACACACGTAAACTAGCCTTAAGGGTGTTGCCGAGGAAGGCCCCTCCGATGCTAAAGTCAGTACAATGTGTTGAAAGAGAAGACTAAGCAAGAGAGTTAGTTGCTTGAGGCTTTGCTTGAATTAATGAGAATATATCAGAATCTATGTAAAAATGTAATATTGATGGCTTTTATACCTCTTCATACATGGAGAAGTTGGGCCTTAGCCCAATTGGCTTGCCTTGAGGGCTGATCTTTGACTTTAGCACAATTGGAGAGATGAACCTTGACCTTGGGCTTTTAATTGGATCATTTAATGCCTAAGCCCAATTGGACTAAATTGGACCCAAACAACTTGCCCCCCAGACCCGATTTGGAAGGATGACGGGTCGGGTTTGATTTAACCAGAAAAGGAGGGAAGTGAATGATATAATTAATCCAAAAATTTGAATTTAAACCGTAATTAATGAGATAACAACGGTTAAGGCGGATGATTGTGGAAGTTGGACGGATAATGGGCAGTTTAATCGCAAGGTCGTGTGTTTAACGGTTACTTAGTGGGGCATTTAAGAGAAATTGAAACGCGGACTCCCCGTATTCCCATTTCTGGAGATATAATCAGAGGTGCGTCATCTCTCCTCACTTATTCACCAACACAAACCCAGAATTCTCGAGAAAACCCAAGAACCCGCATCAAAACTTCGCAAATTCCCCGAGCATTAAGCTTAGAAACTGAGACTTGCCACTACGAACTCGTAAATCGGCAACTTTCGCTTCAGATTAAGGTAAATTCCTTTGATTTTAGTTTATTTTTCTTCGAATTCGAACTCCTTCCCTTTTTTTTCGACTTTTTTCTTCGAAATTATCAATGGCAAGAGGAGTTAGAGGTAGAGCCCGTGCTCCAAGAAGAGCAAGGCCAATTCCCGATCCTAGGAACAGGATTGGGACCTGGAATGGACAAAGGCCAGAGTCTGACCCTGCTGAAGGGATTAGGGCGACTCCAATTTCCTCGGCTCCTCCTCAGAGAACGGAGGGGCCGAGCGCTTCTGGACGGGACGATGAAGTTTCCGCTGTCCTTTGGGATATCCTCCCCGGGTTTTCAGAGTGGGAGAATGCCGAAGTAGCTTCGGCCATGATAAACAACCGCCCCTACTCATGGTGGGTGGAGAATGCCGAACAGTATCGGTTTGCCGAGCAAATTGAGTTGCATTACGGCATTTTTGAAGCTGATGGGTATTGGTGCCGAATGCCCGTGGCATCCGATAGAATCCATCGTCCACCCCCGGGGTATGTGGGGGTGTACACAAGACAGCTTCAGTATGGGCTGAGGTTCCCTTTGGACGTATTCGACCGAGACTTGCTGATCCATTACAATATCTCCCTATGTCAGCTAACTCCTACCAGCATCCGAAGGATGATGACATACTTATGGGTCTGCAAGTTCTTCAAGTATGTGCCGAACCTGCACTACTTCAAAAAGCTTCATCGGCTACTGCCAAATATTTCAAAGTGGGCACGGAAACCATGGTTCTAGGTGGTACCGGATTGAGTCTCGGCCCCAGTACCTAACCATGTGGCCGAACGACTCTTCAGACAAGGACTGGAGAGGTCAATGGATTTGGGTTAGGGCACCCACGGACCCGGGCCACCCTTGCGTCTTCAGCGCCCCCCGGTACCTTGCTGAGCCTGATCCCGACATGGGAAGTCTAGGTCCCCCCGCAGATAACGGGCCAGATCCGAACCTTAATCAACAGAACATCTTCGGCAAGCTGCCGAACCGGGGGGGCAGCGGCCGAATGCAGCATATCCCGGAGACTTGGCTCCCCGATACGCATTATGTTTTCCAAGAGAACATGCTAGCAGCTGTTGGCCTCAGCCGAAAGTTTAAGGATGGTAAGCTTCTTCGGCTGGGGCCGAGGCTTTTTAATTATCTCTTTTTCTCCTCACTTCGCTTTTTTATGCTGTGCCAACCTAACTGAACTGACCCTTCCCCTTTTCTTTTTCAGAGCGGGACGAGACCAACGTCGGCATTAACTACGCTCGTCTTGACGTCAACCGAGAACGAGTTGTAACTGATCGGGCCCCCTCTATCACTGAACCGAGGCATAGGGAAGTTCATCTAGACTCTTCCCACTTCCAAATTGAGGCTGTTGCTCTGTATCAGAGGCAGAAGCCTTGGTGGAAGAAGAGAGATCCCTGGTTTCAGCTTCTAGACGAAGAAGCTGAAGCTGCCCGTACGGCCGAAGAGGTTGCACGGGTTATTGAAGCTTGTGAAGGAGGAGAAGGGTCCTCCAGGGCTGCTAAAAAAGAAGCTGCAGCTAGGGCAGCTGAAGAAGACGAGGCTTTGCTGAAAACCTCGGTGAGCTTTCAGACTTAACTTTGTTTATTTCTGTTGTTTTTTTTTTTTGTACTCACATTCTTCCTCCCCCCTGTCTTTTACAGTCTGAAGAGAGTAACATACACAGAGAAGGGAAAGCCCCTGTTCGTCCCGAAGACCAGATACAAGAAGAGTCTTCAGACTCAGACATGGACGAGCAGCCGCTTCAGAAAAGGCGCCGAAGAATGGCCATCATCGGCCCGCATGACTTTCAGCGGAGGCCGATGACCATCGGCGTTGCAATAAGGGAACCCGAGGAAGGCAATGGATCGCCGAGGGTTCCCCGACCACCACCTCAATCACCTCCAAAGACCCCTCCGCCACCTCTTGAGATGGAGGTGGATCAGAAAACTCCCGAATCTAAGGGAGGGGTCCAAGAAGAAGTTCAGTAGAGTGCCGCTGAGCACAAGAATAAGGATGCCGTGATGCCCAGTGCTGAGGGTTTCACGGCAGACATTGCAAGAGAGGTTGAGGCTTTCGTCCTCACCCCTGAAGAAGAAGAGGTCATAATAATTGACTTTTCTGAGAAGGATGATGCTGAGCCATCCAAAGCTAAAGAAGCTCCGTCGTCATCCTTTCCTTCCTTCCAGACTCTGCAATCTGGAGAAATGGGTTTCTCGGTCCCCCGAATTCCAATCCCAGATCACATCTGGGACCTCATATGGGGTCAGAACCGAGAAGGTGCTGCAGCCTACTTCGGCGATTTTGCTGGCACGTCCCAAGTAGATAGGGCAAGAATCTGGTCGCTGAAGGCCACTGCTGGGATGGGCGAATCCAGCAGATCAGTTCCTGACCCAGCCAGGTCTAACCAACTGCTGATGATGCAGGTGATTTTCCTTGCATTTATTTCCTCTAAAATTCAGCTCTATTTTTATTTTTTTTTTATTGTAACTTGTGCTCCTGTTTTCAGTTCGTGCACAATCAGACTCTCACTGTAGAGCTGATAGATACCCTACAAGATAGGGTAGACGCTGCCGAGCACGACAAAAAAGTAGCCGAAGAGGAGTTAAAGCTTGTTAAGCTGAAGCAAGCAGCAGCCGAAGAGAAGCAGTAGAAGGGTGAGGAATACGAGAAAAAGGCTGCTGAAGCCTTCAAAACCTTCTGCGACGCTATGGAGAAGGAAGTTTTTCCCCCACTGATGGAAGGGGAAAAATTCCTCCAAGAGCACATGGGAGTGGACGTCCCCAAATTCAAGGCTGCCATCGAGAGCCGAATCCAGGAAGGAGCTGCTGCACAAGCTGAAGTGCAGCAACGGCTAGAAGCTCTTGAAGCCAGCAGAATGGATGCTGAAGAGATGCTCCAAGCCAGGGATGTCCAACTCTCAGAGGCTGCTGCTGCTGCTGAAGCTCAGAGAGCTAAGCTCCAAGAGGCTGAGGATCAGCTGATGGCCAAAAAGCAAGAAGTGGCCCAGGCTCAGACAGAGGCTTCCCAAGTTCAGCAGGAGCTGAATGAGCTGAAAGGTTCCTCCTCCAAGCTCGCCGATGAGCTGAAGAAATCCAAGGAAGACTTGGAGGAGACCCAGAAGAAGTTGGCTGATGCTGAGGCTCTACTCAAAGTCCGTGTCTATACCCAGGAAGAATATGAAATGGGTTTCAGAAACGGGTTCAGAGTGTGCCGAAGAGTCTGCCTTCATGCTGAGCCAAAGCTGGACTGGTCCAAATGTGCTGAATGGGTCCAGAATCCTGAAGACCCTCATATGAAGTATGCAACTCCAGTCGAAGCTGAAATTCTTAAGGCTGA